TGCCCCTTTTGTCGGTTTTGTTGTCTTCCCTGCCCACCGGGGGGGGGGGGGAGTGAGTGAGTAGCTGGGTGGGGGCTTAGTTGCTGGCTGGTGTTAAACCACAACAATAGTCCAAGGCAATGAAACATACTCAGATATGAATGTTTTGCAAAAATGAATTCAAGAATTGACATGGACTCTCTCTCATGCACACACACACAAAAGGATAGCACATATTGAAAAATACTTACGTGCTTAAAACAGGTAACAGGAGCTGCTGTAAAGCTATTGCTACTGATGTAGTTACCCCAGCTGAAACCTTCCACAGGGACAGCTGCTAAGAGAAAGTTATTTTATTTAGGAAGCTGCTAATGAGCCACAAATCTTGTATTACCAAGAATTTGTTTCAGCTCTGTTCATAGGCCATTACCTGCTTTAGTCTTTGCCTGGTTTTGTAAAGTTGCTTGGTACTGAGCATATGCTGCTAATTTAGCCACTAAGGGTTGTTTTTGTAGAACTTTAGCCTTCTTTGTTGGAGGTTTACCCTAAACCAAAAAAAACTAAGTAAATAAAGTCTTTCCAAACTCCCATCAGGCAATTTCAATAGGTCTGTAGCATATCTCTGGTACATGTAACTAAAATTAGAACACCACAGAATGGAAGTTGACTAAGTATCACAAAACTACATGTAATATTAAATAAATTTAAAAACCAGTAGCAAAGAATGTCCAAAAGATGACTTTTGTACTAGTATTCCAACTCGAACAGCATTATAGATTCAATGTTGTTTACCTGAAAAAAAGATAGCTCTTAAAAGCAGGTGAAAAGGAAGAACTTTTCATGTAATTTATACCAATGCAATTTCTTGGCATTTGTTGCAATGAATTCGTGATAGGATATAATGGTATTTCCTGACGTTTCTATCTCTTTTCTTGAATATTACAAAAATACCTTCATGATCATTCAATTAATATTTTAAGTGAACAGACCAAAACCCATTTTGCAAATCTATATAGTTAAGAAAACCCTCAAAACCAAAGCACAACAATGCTAAATAAACCTTTATGCTCTCTAAAGCCAGAAAGTATCTTGGGTATGAGATGCATGGAATTTCAAGTCACTACATATGTAGACTGAAGATTTTTCCTGATCTTTTTCTTGCAGAAGGGCCACTGCAGCAGAAATGAAATAAGGAGTCAGTATTCTCTGGAATTTGCTCTGCTGAGCAAAGAAATTTGTTCAAGCTGATACAGTTTTGAGTTCTGGATTACAAAATCACTAATGTGAAAATTTTAATGTGTTAAGAAACTTATCTTAAAACATCATGCAAGTTTTACAAATGTACATGTTTTACACACACAGACTATAGTAAGTATATAAATAAAATGGTGTCTGTACCGCTACCTGAAGTCTGGCCAGAATGCTGGCCTTCTTGGAGTTCGATGAATAGCTTCTAGAGCATGACACACTGCAGAAGCGTTTTGTTTTAGAGTAAAAAGCGTCACGGACACCAACCATTCCACACATCTCGCATGTAGCTAATCAGAGGAGAGAAAAAGCCAAATGTTGAGAGTGTAATAAAGACCTAAGTAAAAATTCAGAATAAAGACAACATAAGGAAGGTCCTGTAGGTGGCATGACCAAATAGTTTCTTAGGGTTTGACCCTGAAGAGAATTGCACAGAAAAATAACTTAAAATAAGAACACCACCACAAATGTCAGTGAAACATTAAGAACCTCAAGCTCATTGGTGAAAGGGTGCCTCCTTTCTGCTCCCTGTTAATTCTACCACTGGTACAAGTGAATGACCCAGCTAAATCAGCTAACGCCAATTTCTGCGTTTTCATGGTTCTCGAGGAAACGTCTGCTTTGAATCTGGGCCTGCCAATCTTGATTTCCTCTAAATATTTAATACTTCCGACCTGAAATAAAACCAGATCTCTTTTTTGAATCTTAAGGTAATGTACCCAAAGTACCCTAGCCCACCAATATTCTCTTCTAGCTTCAGAGGCTGACAGAATCACCCACTGAGTTGTTCCATGATGAGTAAGAGTTTGTGACCAACTTATGCCAATGAGACAATACCAAGATTCACCTAGAGAGAGCTCTACTAATCACTAATGATTTTGGCAAAAATATTTTTTTCTCCAATGATAGAAGCAATCTTTTTTTTAATTTTTTCTAGTATCCTCCAGCTCACAGCTAGTCAGTAGTGAACAGGTATACACTGACAGACTCTATACAGTAGCAGTAATGAAGTTTTCCTAGTATAGGAAGAAATACATTTTAATATATTATATATAGAACATAAAGGGTAAAGAGAATATATGCCCAAGTGTAGAAAGAACACACTGACATTTTCCTCAAAGCTCAAAGGACAAAAACAATGTACATGAGAACATACACATGCACGTGCATATATACACAAACACATTTGATGGGAGGGTGGATGTTCCCACACACATATCTTATTTCAGTTCAGCTAAAACCAAACAATTCCCTCCTCCCAAAACAAACCATCCGCAACCCTTCAGCTGTTTTGGTCCCTTTTCAGTTGGGACCAATGTTTGGGACTGGACCTTCGCAACTCACAGCACAGGCTAAAACCAATAAATATCAAACTCTGTACTCATGCACCACATACTCACCCATGCCAGATTTGCCATCTGGGTAAGTATAGACCTGTCCATTGTTCTTTATAATTGGGAGACTGGACGGCAAAGGAGCAACCTCCTCTTCACTCTCATCTGAACTGGAGCTGCTGCTGGTGTCCTCACTACAACTATCATAACCGTCAAACATCCCGAATGAATCACGTCTTTTCCTTTCTGCTCGTGAAGTATGTTCTGTCTAAAAATTAAAAACAAACAAACAACAAAACCCCCAAAGAATAGCAGAGCATTCTGAATGCAAATCTTTCAAAGTCAAGCTTAAAAAGTTTCAAAGGTCAAAGTCAGCCTTCAAAAGTAGATGTGCTAACAAACTGCTCTATCAGCACAGAGATACGAGCCATATATTGCCAATTAAATTAGTATCGGTATAGGCAAAACTAGCCAATTTTTAGTATTGTGATATACAGGAAGAAAAATCTATCTCACAATCCACTGAGAATACACAGTAGCAGTCCCATAGATTTCTTTTCCTTGGTATCTTCAGAGTTCATTAAACCTGATGTGCTGAATAATGACAGCCACACAGATCTTATATGCAAATGAGCACATTCCAGATGGCTGCAGCCAATGTCACTAAAATTCATTCAGTTGAGAAAGCTGGGCAGAGAAAAGACAGTTCAACCAAGAGGGGACTTATTCCACAGAACAGATACGAGAGTGTATCTCTGCTCTCATTGGCTTGTGGGGTTATCGATAAATCACTCGGCTTCCCTATGATTCAGTTTCTCACGTGTGGAACAGGAATACCTCTCCACCTCGCAGGGATGTTCTGAGGATTAATACATTAACAATTATGAAGAGCTCAGTTACTATGGCAATAGGGTCTGTATAAATGCTAAAAGATAGAAAGGTGACTAATTTGCCACTGTCATATACAAAAACTTGTTACATAATAGAGTTTTCCTGTAACCAAAAAATCTGAGGTCAAATAAAAACATACAATTTTGAAGAACGCATAACAGTTAAGCAATTTCCAGCGAAGACATTAAAGAAGTATAAACAATAGATTAAGTGATGCCTTTTTTCTGATGCACATCCAATACATGCATTTTAATACAGTGACAATTTTCACTTTATTAATATCTTACATAGCTCTACTGAAACATGCTACTGCTACGTGAGCAGCCCTCATTAAGCTAAAAAAAAAAACAAAACAAAAAAAACAACAGAAAAAATTTCAATGTATTTTCATTATCCTTAACAGCACCCACTAAGTTTGAGAGGAAATAACAGATAAAGAGAAGACAAAGAAAAATTCTACAATAGAAGCACAATTTAGGAGAATGAAGTACAGCCAAGAAAACAAAAAAAATATTAAGAAAGCCTTTGCCTCTACTTCTTTTTCCAAGAGCTAATTTTATTTAAAAGTCATTGTAGACAGAAAAATAATAATATGCAATCGGACTTTTCCTTCTTAAATTGCCTTTGGATTCATAGCTTTAAGATTTCATCACAGTAATTCCCCAAATCCCTTTCCTAGAGAGTATATGCCTGAACATCTTTATTGTTGGATCTCATCCGAGACTTTTTCTGCCATGCTATCCCTTTATTATAATTTTTTTCTATTCTGCTTTGCAATCTGAGTAAATCCTATTATGGAAGGATTTCCTTGTAGTTAAAAGGGAAAACCGATTTCCACACTGACCCAATCCTAGCATCCAATTAAAAAACAACCAAACAAAAACCAATAAGCATAAAAGGCTACGCAGTAAGGTAAACAAATTTAAAACACTTAAAGCAGCTCTGGAACAAAACAACAACAAGAAAAGAGTCAGTGTAATGTTAATTATGCACACATTCCTCAGCCAGCAAGTCAAAATTACATTAAAATCCATCAAAACTTAGGATAGGGCATAACTTGACAACTCCCTGAAGGAACGGACATCTGCCTGAAGTAGCCAGGGTAACAGCTGCGATCATCAGAGGAAACACTGAGCGATGGCAGAACAAAACCTCGGCCTGACCTGCACTGGTGACAAGCCTTACCTCCACACTACTACTGATGCTACTGGCCAACAAGATGCAAGATCAGTTATTACTTTGTGTGCACGTGTGGGTAGATTAAGGCAGAAGTTGAGCACAACGTTGCCATGGATACAGTGTTCTGCGAACAGTGCCAGTAATTTACAGATCAGAACATGAAGACTAGTCATCTTCCTCAAGATTTCATCAACTCCTTAATGTCTCACAACATTCAACTTTCCTTGACCACAGCCTCCGCTAAGAAATAAAAGGCAATACCATATTAACCGTGCACAACTAATACCAGAACACCATGATGCCTTCTAGTATTATGGATAGATCGAGCTCCTTCCTCATTCACTCATCCTCCGTAAGCCAGCTGATCTGATTTCACCAAGAGATCAGGGCCTCGTCCCACATAAAGGAGGACTTCAACCCTTTAGTTGGAGGCTGCAGTACAAGGTAGTCTAGGGACATCCCTTTTCCACTCCAGACTGGAGAACTCTGGACCCGCACAGCAGTTCTGCTTTGCCCGGTACTTTGCTGGCAGAGGCCTGAAATGCTGCGGCAGCTCAGAAGAAGGAAGAGAAGCGCAGCCCGTTCCCAGTCTCTCCAACTCTCAGTGCTGCACTACAGAAACTCTACAGCCCGCGCTGCTCCCACTGCAAGGGAAGGTGAAAGAAGAAACGGGAGGTTGGAGGCAAGATGCAGGACCAGTGGCACGGGGGGGAAGGCAGGCTGCTCTAGGCAAGCTGAAGCATGGTGCAAGATTACAATTGCAGATACCACTGGCTCTTTTTTTTTTGTTCTTTTTTTGCATCACATATATTTCAAACTTCAATATTACTGCCAAGCCCTCTTTGCCAAAGTATCCAGAGAGAAAGAAAATATTTGCACTTTCTATATGGAAAGTTGGGCCATCTACTAAGAAAATCATTCTTCAGCATTAATACAGGTTCCTAAATAGCAATCATCAAGTTTGTGGAGTTTAACTACGCTGTCAAAACAAGTCTAATATATCACCTTTCCATTTACTTTATACTTGGCCAAGTTGTCCCAGCTCAAGTTATGAGCAATTCAAAACAGCGGCCTTGCTTATTGTTTTAAAATAATACTGTAGTTTTTATAAAACATTTTATCGAAGCTTTTGCCAGAAGGTGACCATGTTTGCCAGATAAATTATGTAGGACATTCTTCATGTTAATTTACAGTTGTTATCTGGATTGTATTTCTGGGGAAACTACTCAAAATACGTTTTGTAACAAAAAAAATTCAAAGTACTTTGTACATAGAAGTAGGTGGAAGTTAGGGAAGATGATATGCAAATACCTATGCTGGAATTTTGCTAGAGCAGATCAAAACATATCTATTTTGATAATAAGCACCACTGAGGTTTTTTTAACCCATGTTGAGAGACAGCATTTGTAGAAACAAGCGAACAGCACATGGAATCTCCGATAACCCTTCCCGCAGAATGTAGAGGTCCTATTCGTTTGCAAACCCCGTCTAACACCTGAAATAGAAAAAAGTTGGGGTACAACTCTGAACTCAAAGATCAAAAATGGCATCCTTACGAAAACGACAATCTATGCCTCAAGCAGAACCATAACTGAGATAGAGCAGCTGCTTTGGTAACAGCAGCCGCCTGCAACTCCTGCTGAGTTCTTGCAAGTGAAGAGCAGCAGCATGCCTCATCAGCTGACTAGCAGTATCTTGTCTGTCTTGACAAAAAAGCACCTAACCATGGTAGCTACAGGACCTCTACAAATGGCAGCCTCAGAAAGAACAGCTCATTACCCTGCAAGGTATTCCCACTGAATTTTGAGACACTGTCCATGAGAATGCAGTCCTTCACCCCAAAAAGCTACCACTACTCCAGTAGTAGCAATTTGATCTAACAATTACAACTATAGTAAGATCAATCCATGTTTCACAACATAGGCACAGAAGGAAAAAAAAAATTGTTTCCTACTCTTAGAAGCTGGATTTAGCACCAAAAATCATGCTGCGGAGGTTGTCTTCTCCTCAAAACTGAACCAGATCAGCGTTCTTCACCTTCTAAGAAATGAGGGAATAGCAGCCTGCCTATCTGCAAAACATGCTTTGAGCAAGAGTCTGGCTTGCTATAAAACTTAGAACCTTGTAGCTGGTTAATACCAAAAGAGCAGTACCTTAAGTAACTCCACCACTAAGAAAGAGTCTACTAGTACGTTAAGCAGAAGCAATGCACAAACAAAAGAACAAGACAAACTTTTAGGCATACTGGCCTAGGCTTATTTTCCTAATGAGATTACCAGTTCCTCAAGAGGAAAGATTTTTAGGCAGAGCAATACAAAGTCTAGGGTAGCAGGACTGGCAAATAAGCCTGTACGACTATTTGCTTGGGGGTTTTCTTGCATACTTTTCTTTATTGAAGGGATGGGTGGAGAAAGGAACTCTTAAGAACTGCTTTCTTATTCTGCCCAACTTCCTATTTTCCTGTTCTTCCTCTCCTCCCTGTGAATACTTGGCAACAATGTATTTTTAAGAAATACCCTTAATTAACCATTACACAAGGCAAACGCTACGATAAAAGAATATAGTTGAGGAAACCGGTTTCCCTAAAAGCAGGAAGGTAGCTCTAAACAAATATGAAAAATAACTAGTTTTTCACTCTCCTAACATATAGTGCTATACACATACAGTTGAATTTGGTCAGCACATTATAACATACATTCTTTGGGCGTAATAGCTACTCTTTCAGCATAAAAAGTTGGTCACGAAGGGTGACCAGTGTATGGCCAAAACACAAAACAAAACTATTTAATGTTAATTAGATATTAAATACTTACTCAGGAAATTGCTTTAGTGTCTTGAGGAAGACTATGCTCAAGTATTGGCAAAATTGATGAGAAAGGGTTTTGAAGGTGAAAACTTGCTGCAAAAAGGACCCCATGATTAAGTAACCAAACTTCTTGCCCCCAAGTAAGTGCATCCTGGCCAAAGGAGGAAGATCCAGAACAGCCACAGAAAGGTTTCAAACCACTCAAAAGGGTTGTTGTTATTACTGAATCAATTTGGTGCTTGAATTCAGAAAGGTAGCAATTCAGAGCTTGGAGTACAAGAGCTGTAGCTTAACAAAGGCCTACCAGCACCTACACAGATAGGCATCACTTTCTACACGCAGCTCTAACCCCCAGAAACATGACAGAAGTATGGACAGATGGTATTTGAGGCCAAGGTCAACAATGAGGTCACCACAACCTTCAAGCCAAGGGTCTGTGATAAGACACATTTACTTTAATCGCATATCCTTAACAGATCGTGCATTTCCCATAGTGTATTTCCAAGTTGGTATTAAATGCGATGCAGAGCTTTTGTTTTCAAAAGTTCATTACTGTTTTATGCTACAAGCTTAGTTTTAGCTCTGGATGTTAGCATTAAAGAAACAAGAAGATGGAACTAATTTATTACAACTCTTCTGAATGTAAGCGGGCCAAAATAATTCACTGTAGTAATACTAGCTTGCCCCCTGTGGAACTGAAGTCTAATTGTGCCTCAAAGCATGACAAAAAAAGAAAATTCAAACATGGTACCAATTTAAAGAAAACATACTTTCAGCTTTCATTGAAAACAAACAAACAAAAAAACCCCCAAAGCTAAACATCTTGGGATTCCTGGAAATCAGAACCAACCAAACTTACTTTTTTATATAAGCAACTCACCTCTATCTGGAAATGTGCCTTCCACTCTTATTATAAGTAAAATCTCTGCTGGAAAATTACAGAAATGTTTTTTCCTGTCTCTTCATTTGCTATGTATGACAGCATTTTGTCTGAAGCCAGTTTCTGCTGTTTGCCAATGGTTTTGTCCATAGCCTCTTCCCCAGGGGGTTTCACACAAGAGGGGAGACTCTTTCATAAAAAAATATATCAAATTAGCAGGCAATTTTGGAGGGGGTGTGTGATGATTAATACGTGAAATATCTGAGTTTTGAGAAAACTGAAAATCTATTACAAACTCCATTATGTTTCTACAAAGCCCTTACAGGAGTATCTGGAAGAGGCAAATATTTCACTTTAAACACTGTGTTACCATTAAAAAAAAAAATCAATTTAAATGTAAAAAACCAAAAAACAACACCAACCCAAAACCAAAGTCTTCAACAGCTGAATTCATTCCATGTGCTCAGAGCCAGATTCAGCAAAATCTCACACATGCCCAGAGTGTACTGACTTACCTGAGAAGTGAAGGTATGCAGTAGTAGTTTGCAGAAGGTATCAAAAGCCTTGCAAAATTAAATCAAATTTTAGAAGGTAAGAGAAATGAAAGCCAACAAGAGGGAACTTTTGTACATATTTTCACTACTGCCAGACATCTAGCTCTTCAGGGAACCACAATGAAGAGAATTCTTACTTTCAGTCTACAATATTTTTGCACATGCACAAGCCTACACACTCTCAAGAACACCTAAACTATTCTTGTAGCATAAACGACAACTTCCACATAGGAGAGTCTATACCTCTGCTACGTTTCCCTATAGCTTACAGTACACACTTCCTCAAAATGATCCCTAGGCAGAAGCAAGACTACTAACCTACCAAGTTTGATTGCGTTTTTAAAGGAATATGTTGTTTTAGTTCCCATTTAACATTCCAGATTAGATGCTCTCATAGCCTTTTATTCCATTCCTTACAAGTCGAAATCGGACTGTTATAAACAAATACAGCAAACAAATAAGTGCAGGTTCTCAAAGCTGCAAAATAATTTAAAATACAGAAGACTGCCCTCCAGCTTTCAGTTTTAGCTGGTTTTAGATGTGAAAAATCACAAGGGCTGCCACCCACATTTTAAATCGTTGTTTTAAAATGAATTAGTTTTTCACAGCCAGTAGTTTCTACCATAATCAGCATATGCTTTGCAATAGGATTTTTTTTTTTTAAAGCCACACTGGACAGAAATTGCTACACTTGAAAACGTTTCCAGCAACAACCTGAAACTGGTTTCACGGGTTTACTGCTCTTCACATTAAGAACAAAGTCAAAATATAAACAGTCATAAAAAGTATATAGAGGGGGGAACTGGATACAAAGAATCCCAAACTTTTGAAGTGCTGATGTTAAAGAATACTCTACAGCACTTACAATGAGTACGACTGGAAAATTAAATCTTAAAGGCTTTAACTACAAGAGGAAGTTGCGGAAAGACCAGCGCTTCAGTGGACCACTACGAGAACGCGCATCCAGGACGCCTGTACCGCTCAGGGCGAGATCATCTGGAACTTCTCCCTACCGACCCTGACTGCCGGCAGGAGGAAGAAGGGGAAGAAGGGGAGGAAGGGAAAAAAGCCAAACCCCGAGCCCAGCGCAGCCCGCGAAGGCCGGGGGCAGCGCAGCGCCCGGATCACAACAAAGGGGAGCCGCCGCCGCCCGCC